GGCTCGCGGTTGGACCGCGAGCCAAAAAGACTTTTTGCATAAAAAAGTGTAGATTTCACCACTTATTTATTAAAAGCTTATTTAAGTAAGTAAGATGTCAACTCGTAACTATCCTTGATTTATATATTATTTCTCCCTTATTTAAAGATTATACATATATTTATTTTTTTCATTGATTAAAATAATCCGAAATATCCGAACTATCCCTAAGGATGCTGCTTCGGTCATCCAATCCATTAACCTGAATGGTGATGGGCCATTGGATTTTTATGAGTTCATTAGATTGATAAGTGGAAAAGGGGATAAAAAGGAAGAGGAGAGAGAGTTGAGGGATTTAATGGAAGGTGGGAGGTTTTATTACGGCTAAGAGCTTGCAAAGGATGCCTAGTTTGTTGGGTAATTCTAGAAGTTTTGAGGAGAGTAAGGTTATGATTTGGAGATTTGATGCTAATGAGGATGGAGTTATATATTAGTTTTTATGAGTTTAAGACTATGTTGCTATTAGGTTAATTGAGATGTCCTTCCTTGATCTTCTTCTACTTCTATTTTTGGTTATACGTAGGTGATGTGAATTAGGTGATGTGAATTAGTCTAACTACTGCAACTTGTATATTTTTCTTAATGTCTTTAAGTTGTTCTTATTTGTGTTTATACTGTGAAAATATGTCAAATTAAAATGTTCCAGAAGTACTTTGGGATTGATCATCTCCACCGTCAAAAAGTATTGAAAAGATAATGATCATAACTACCTCATCAGCTTGATGATTCTGGTTCATTTTTGACATTTGTCATCTCTCCATGAATGCTTTTACTTTATATTCTTTTACGCAAAACAAGTCATAAATATTAACGTAATTATGGAGGGTTGTAATCAATATTTTCTGATTGTTAACAGATCCAGGTCCTGATATCTTTAAGTATATGTGCACTAATCTAGCGAGCACTTTACCTAACCATGCATAATCCATAATCATACTAAAAGAATCATAATTCACCTTTATTAAACAACTATGATCCTTTCTTAATATAACGAACATAATACATTGTTAAGATTGTCTATTTGCCAACATATTCAAATAGTCATGTTTGATTTCGTGATTGGAGTTTAATTTATATGGAGAATATATATCATCAGATTTCAGAATTAGACGTCTGCCGAGGAGGGAGAATCTTGATAAGACACCACTCCCGAGATGATAATCCATGCAGGGATCAAACTTCGCTTGGTTTCATATGAACACTATGTGTGTAGAGGTATCATAATAGTGACTATGTTATTTTGAATATAAATTATATCTTTAGCCGTCCATTGTTTTTATATATAAGAGAGAGAGAGAAAGAGAGAAACTATATCCAATTAGGGTGTATGATTTGGATTTGGGAGGTTGTTAACAATCCCATTTATTAATTACTAGTGTAATCATGAGCTGGTTGTACATAATCACATTATACGAATTAATCTCATTCAAACCTATGTTTTGGCTTTAATTTGAGGGAAGGTTTGAGAACGAAAGGTGTTATGACAAATTCGCTAGGATAAGCTAATTATATCAATCACATGAGAGCATGAAAAATATTAAGAACACATGAACACAAAGATATACGTGGTTCGGCTTGTAGCCTACGTTTACGGGCGAAGGAGGAAAAAATCTTTACTAATTTTGAGGAATTCAATGTGAATCTCTCAATCTCTCATTCCCAAATCACATCCCAAAAGCCTAATACAAAACCTCTCAAACAAAGGAACAAAAGAGAAGAATATCAAATAGGCTTCACGAAATAAATTTCTCTTCTTGATTGGTGCTCTAAAGATTGATACATCTAATTGGTTTGAAAGACTGTTCTTATATACACTAGTAGAAATCCGTGCATCCTAGACTAGACGGAATATCCTAGACGGAATTTTTTCCGTCTAGGATGAAACATCTTGGACGGAAAAAATTCCGTCTAGGATATTCCGTCTAGGATGTAACCGTCTAGAATGTTACATCCTAGACGGAATTTCCATCTAAAATAGTATCCTAGACGAATTTTATTAATTATTTTTTAATTATTTGTGGTCCCCGCCTAGCGGAAATTCTCGTGTAGGATAACTTCCTAGACGAAAAAAAACTAAAATTTCGTTTTCACGGCTTCAGATTTGGAAATCCCACTGCTCCAAAAATTCCGTTTTCGCGGCTTCAGGTTCGGGGATCTTATTATATCAAAACCCCCTTCGTCTCCCTCCCCTCTTCCCTCTCTTATCCCTTCTCCTGTTCCTCCATGGCCGCCCTAATCTCACCTCCGTCAACTTCTTTCTCCCCCAACCTCTCGTTGCTCCACAGGACCACCACACCGCCCCCATCTTCATTATCCTTGCACTCTCCCTTCTCCTTCTCCCGTCTCTTCACCCTCTC